CAGCCTGGGCAAACGTGGGCTGCAAAAGGGCAAGCTGGGCAGGACACCAGGCAGAGCCACATGATGCACGGTGGCTGGTAGGGATTTCCCCAGCAGCACTGGGTTTTGCTGAGCCCCTGCCCAGCTGTCAGCGCCTCTGCGGAGGGAGGGCAGCTCCTCCAGGCCAAGCTGATCCCACCCTTCCAGAGCAGAGGGATGATTTTCTGAAGAGTTCAGGGCCTTCGTGGTTTGTGGTAGGTCTCTGCAAGGCAGCTAGAGGATAGCTTTTGGGGCAGGGACAAGTCTCCTGAGTTTTGGTGAGTTACAGCACTCCATCGTCTTTCCTCAGCATCTCCGACTGAGATTTCATTTTTACCCAGCTTGTGCTGCACTCTAAGATATGCCATGAACGCCTCCGCCATGTCCCAACCTCACATTTTTTCCATTAAAGTACCAGTTAATTGCAAGCTAACACCAGCCAGGTAACCTGGCTCCAGCCCTGCTGCGTGGGCTTGTGCACGAACCCGACTGCACTTCCCCTGGGAAAAGCCCCGCGGCTGGATCAGGGGCTGGGAAAGGAGGGACTCGCTAATTACCCACTCTTTTCACGTGAGCTGGTGGTTTTTCGAGCCAATCCTGACCACAGGTCACACCAGAGGGACAAAGCCCAGGTTCGGTGGGACAGTCCACATCATGAGTCTCCTCTGGCTGTGTCTCCCAAATTTATGTGCCTGACCCAGCAGCAATAAACTGCAGAGGTGTGCCCAGTGTGTCAGCCTCACACGCTTTTGAGAGAATACTGGGGGATTCTGGGGTGTATTTGGAGCCCTTTTTTACCACCAATGGGGACAGTTACTGCTTTTTTAACCTCAGATGATAGAGACCTATGTGGCAGAGCCCAAGTCTTGATGACGATGCCAAGGAGATGAAAGGTTATAATGTCTACATGTAACAGAATTTGCTTTAAAGAGGGAGAAAAAAAAAAAAAAGAGAGGAAAAATGATGGTAAACTTTCGGACTACTCCCGATCTTTACGTAACTTTCAAATTAATCAGCAAGCAAGAAATGCCAGAGTTGTGCAACCCCCGGTGGGTCCATGTGCCTGCTAGCCTTGTGCCCCGGGTTCCTGTCTCCCTGGGGAGATGCTGAAACAGGGGGCAAAGGGAGCCCTGCACGTTTTCCAGAGCGCAGGAAAGGCTGCCACCCTGTGGGGACACGGCTTTGACGGGAAACCCCTCCCTCTCTCCCGGGATGTCCTTCTGCCAGAAGCCAGGGGACAAAAGTCCAAAGCATAATTAGATAAAGTGCAGGCAAGAGGCGGGGGTTCTCTGAGCTATCTGCTGATTGCGTGAGCCATTGCAGAGAAGGCTGTGGGAAATCTGTACACCTTCTCCTGCAAAGGATGAGGAAGGTCCTCCTTATCTCCCTCCCAGGAAGGATGACAGGCTGAGGGAGCTGGGATTGTTCAGCCTGGAGAAGAGAAGGCTCCGGGGAGACCTTATAGCGGCCTTTCAATACCTGAAGGGTGCCTATAGAAGAGCTGGGGAGGGACTCTTTGCCAGGAGGTGTAATGATAGGACAAGGGGAAATGGTTTTAAATTGGAAGAAAAAAGATTCAGATTAGATCTCAGGAAGAAATTTTTTACTATGAGGGTGGTGAGACACTGGAACAGGTTGCCCAGGGAAGTTGTGGATGCCCCATCTCTGGAGGTGTTCAAGGCCAGGCTGGATGTGGCCTTGAGCAACCTGCTCTAGGGGAGGTTGGAACTAGATGATCTTTGAGGTCCCTTCCAACCCAAACCATTCTATGATTCTATGATTCTTCCGCAGACTGACAAACCCCTTGAAGCCTGGGGAGCTCTGGGCTTTAGGACAGTCAGGGGGGCTTTCAGTGACACGTCCCCCCTCCTACAGGAAACACCACCAGCAGCCCTGCATGTCCTCACACAGAGGCAGCCACTCATGTTTTTAATTAGCTGATGGATTACAGAGGGCTTTAAAATCAGGCCTTCCCAGAGCAGCAGACAGATGAGGTCTAGTGTCCCCAGGATTTGCCCCAAAAGCGAGGGGCTGCACGGGTCCTTTGGTACCTGCTGTATTGCAGCACCAGAGCTGCTGCCCCCTCTGCACCACTGCTGGCTTGCCCAAACCTGCCTGGATTTCCTATCATCAACACTTGCATTTTCTGCCATCCAGACAGAAAAAGGGGCCTGAAAATGGTTCAAATGTCCTTACATGGGACAGAGAGACAGGCACGCTGCTCAAACACCTGCACATAACGTCCGCACACAGATTGTGTTCAAAATATATTTCCCTATTTTTACACCTCTTGAGAGGTTTGAATGGGGGCTAAACGTTTGCGGCTGGGTTGTGGGGTTGTTTTTTTTCCCTCACAGCTGAGTTTGTGTCAGGAAGGCGAGAGATGTCAGCACACAGCGGGGAGGCTGGGAGATGCCCCGAGGGGACAGGAGCAGAGGCCAGGGGCTGTTAGCGCCAGGCACAGCAGCGAGAGGCAGCTGCTGGAAAAATGCCCTTTCGCTGCCAGTAGTAATGGCTCCCTCCTGGTATAAAATATTGCCCTTTCCCCTTTCTCATTCACACCTTTTCCCTGCAGATGAAAATGCAACAGGCTGCACTTTTTTTTCTTTTTTTTTTTTTTGGTAGATAGTTTTGGGATCGCCCAATAATTAATCTCAGTAAAAAATCAGTTTAAAATAGCACCAGGCGCTGAGGGGATTCCTCGCTTTCTAATTACCAGACAGTAATCTCCCTCCCTTCCCTCTCTCCGCTGCTTCTGCGGTGCTTCCCCCCTCCTGCAGTCATGCCCCTCTCCCTGGCTGTCCCCTGGCCACCCTGTTCCTGGTGGGCTCTGCCACCCTTGCGGTGATGATGTGGGTCCCAATAACGCTCCCAGCACCCCTGGCCTAAGGGGGTTCAGGCAGGGGTCAGGGCTGAGCCCCAGGGCACGTTCACTTACCCCAGATAAGGGGCGATGTACTCCTGACCCTCTGGGTTTTGGCCTAGATGTGGTGGAAGAAAGTGCTTTTTAATTTTAAAGAGGCCTAGAGATTCTTTGCTTATGGCTTATATTAATATTTAAACCACGCCACGAGAAAAAACCAAAACAAAAACCCTGCATATGTTTTCTCTCTTTTTCACAGCTAACCAGCAGCAAAGGGGAGGAGGTTGGTGGGCTCATCTCTTTGGCAGAGCAAACGCTCTTTCTTCAGCTCTTCTCACCTCCCAATGAGGGCATGGACCCATGCTCTTTCCTAAAAAGGATGCTCTTGTTTTGTTGTTGCCCTGCCTTGTTTTGTAGATGTGATCCGAGAGCACCCAGAAACACGCCAATTGAGACAAACTTATGTTTGCTCCTAGGGGAGCAGTGACCTTAGAAGCCAGGGTGGATCTTAGAAGCTCCACTTCGCGTTGCAGGTCTTGGATGTGAAGATCTTTACCAAGAGGGAAAACACTCACTGTCTAAACTGATTTTACCTATGGGGTTAATTATGGGGACACGGGGTTATCAGTGATGCTATACTTTTCCTAAACACCCTGGATCTCCACAGAATCATAGAATGGTTAGAGTTGGTAGGGACCTTAAAGGTCATTGAGTTCCAACCTCCCTGCCAAGGGAAGGGACACCTCCTACATCCATCTGTGTGCAGAAAGCTATTTGAGTCAACCATGAGTGCTAAACCTTCAGTCTTGAGTGCTCACATCTCTGCAGGTTTGTGTGGCGATGGGAGGGGGAGCTAGTACTTACCCCCTACCTACTCTGCCACCAAACAGCTTTAATCACTCATTTCAGATAAAATCCTTCACGTCGCATCAGGCAAACGAGGTCTGCCATTGCCGTCTTTACTGATGCAACAACCTTAAGAAATGGCGTGGTCGTTGGGCTGTTGAATTTTGTTCTTCCTTTGATCCTTTTGTTTCGCTTGCATGAAGGACAACAGGAACATGAAAGAAAGGGCAAAGCCATCATCGCAAAGTGTACTTCCAGTGGTGGAAAGCTCTTCCTCCAAGCGGCGTTCGGCACCGCGCTTAACCTTTCGGCTTCAAAAGCCTTAGGAAAGAACAAATGAAACCCCCAAAGCCAATTGCGTGTTTCCTATATCTCTTTATTGACCGCCACTGACCGTCGCCTTAGGTGGAGTGCCAGATACCAGTGGAAGAGGTGGAGCTACCCTAGAATTACAGCGAGGGGAGGGGAGACGGTGTGTGAGACAGGGGCTGGGGAGACCTGGCTGGGGACGTGAAGCCTCTGCAGAGCGGCCAGCCACCCCTTCTCTCCCCTGAGGGCCTACTAAGACAGTGGAAAGACGTGCTTGTCCTCGTGCCAGTTGTCCCTAAGGGAAACGACGGGGTAGTGGTGTGAACAGAATACACTTAAACACTTTGCTGCTGGGAAAAAACAAAAAAAAAACCAAACCAAAAAAATATACAGGTTGCAACCCCTGAAGGTAAGACGTTATTATTTCTCCTGCGGTTGCGAGGAACCCGTGGCACACTCATTGCATGTATGCAGGATCTCCGCCGTGGGGCTTGGCTCTGTTGCTTTTATTTATTTTAATTTTTTATTTTTTTTTAAGCTCTGTGTGGTGGGGGTAGAGCAAGTCTGCAGGGCTTTCCCCCTGCTCCAAGCCTCGGCGCACCAGGAGCCAGGGGGTGTGAACTTGTTGCAGTCCCTCCTGCCTGGCGGTGGCTATGGACTACGGCACCGGGAGAAGACCCTTTCTGCAAGTACGATGGCGTGGCAGCATGTGCCATCCGTGCCACCCCCACGGCACAGCTCCTCAACGTCCACCAGCCGCTCACCCAGCCCCTCGTCTCATCCAAGGGAAAGGGGACCCCAAAAAAAAAAAAAAAAAAAGAATAAAAAAAGAAAAAAGAAACAAAGGGAGGGAAAGGGGTGTGGGGGGGAAACCAACAAAATGAACCCCTCTAGATATTCACTGATATCTCTGCCATGGCTCTGGGAACGAGAGCTGCAGACGGTGGCAGCCTGCGCTGCGGGCTTAGGAGGAAGGGGCGGAGGTGGGCTTCTCCTCCCGGGACACGGGGATGGGCCTCTCGCTGTGGCTGGCGTCCATGTTGGTGGGGACCTTGGGGCCCGAGAAGGTCAGCATGCCGTCGTTGGACAGGGAGCAGGTGATGGCAGCCTGGTCCACGTTGGCAGGCAGGCGGTACCGGCGGTGAAATTCACGGGAGATGTAGCCGTGGTCGTCCTGAGAGGCAGTGGGGAAAGGGAGGAAGGCCCGTCAGAAACTCCCTGCCATCATGCCCTGCCTCCCTCCATCCCATCCCGTGGCTCCGTCAGAGGAGGGTCCACGCTCACCCTGGCTTATCGTGAGGCTGTACTGCCAGTGGCACTGAGCACATCTCCCCTTCTCATCCTATTTAACAGGTTTGAAGGGGTAGGTAGCCCCACATGATGCCCCTGAAGCTGCAAGAGCGGAGCAGAGCAGCAGGGTGTGATTTTTGGCCATATTGTAGCTTAGGAGAGGGTCCATGCTCACCCTGGCTTGTTGTGAGGCTGTACTGCCAGTGACACTGAGCACATCTCCCCTTCTCATCCTATTTAATAGGTTTGAAGGGGCAGGTGGCCCCACATGATGCCCCTGAAGCTGCAAGAGTGGAGCAGAGCAGCAGGGTGTGATTTTTGGCCATATTGTAGCTTAGGATCTGATTTGGACGGGGGCTCTGCTGTGGCCTCCGATTTCAAAGGATGCTCGGAGAAAAAAATCTGGGGTTCTGTGAAGGTAAAAGCAATGCGTGTGTGTCTACCCATGTATTTCCTTACTAGGCAGCAATGCTGTGTCAGCCAAAGTACACAGTGCTGGTCTCTTTTTTTTTTTGGCCAAAAGAATGAGAAATGTAATTTTTTCTTTAAGTCAGCCGTAAAAGCGGCTGCTCTCTTCCTCTGGAAAAAATATCTATATTAAAAAAATACATACTGTTTCCAGGCTAGAGCTTTGTCTGGCCAAAAAAGTGTATGAAAAGAATTAAACCCCTGCTGGTATAATTCACTTTTCGACCCCCACAGATATTTCCATGACATATGTGTTAAAAGTTTCCAAGCCTGAGGCACTCAGTTGTTTTTCTTTTGGTTTGTTTGCTCTTGCTTTTCTCTCGCAGATCAGCATATGAAAACTCTGTTTTTACTAACGATTCTGGCTTATGAAAACTCAGTCATGCTTCAGTAGTGCTAGATGATGTTCTTTGTCTGGTCCAGTGTTATTAGTGAACAATGGACATCGTCATCTGATGGTTATGGAAGATGTTGATTGAAAATAAGCAAAAGAGGAGTGGATTAGCTCGTTATTGTCAGATATCAGGTTGGGGCTCTATGGGAAAAGGCCAATAACGACAATTGATAAATAACTACTTCTTCTGATATTTTTTTTTTCCTTCAGCTGAGGACCGATGGAAAGAAAGAAAACGGAGCTTGATTCCCCAGCGGCTTCCCCATCACTTCCACTTACCTGTCTTTCACTGTGCTTGCCATGGATTTCCACAAAATCATCGATAATCTTCACACTCAAGTCTTCGGGAGAGAAGTGTTTTACATCCAGCATGATTGTAAACTTGTCCCGGTCAGACCTCACCTGAAACAAACATCGTTAGCGGCTTCACCATCACTTCCACTTACCTGTCTTTCACTGTGCTTGCCATGGATTTCCACAAAGTCATCGATAATCTTCACACTCAGGTCTTCGGGAGAGAAGTGTTTTACATCCAGCATGATTGTAAACTTGTCCCGGTCAGACCTCACCTGAAACAAACATCGTTAGGCAGTAAGACCTGAGCTCTAAGCAGGGGGGTGGTGCCAGTGTCGCCGCAGCTTAAAAGCCAGAGAAGGGGTGGTCTGGCACGGCACAGCACGGTATTCCCTCCTGTCACCGCAGGCCTCATTGGGGAACTTCCTTCCCACTGTGGGGACCCAGGGACACGGGGGGGCTGTGGTGGGGGTCTGTGCCATTGCTACTTCTCCAGGGAGAGGCATCACTTCTCGCCGCTGTTCTTGTGCTGGGGACCCCTTTGCCCTCTGGCAGATGCACCAGGCGTTTGTGCTCAGCAGTGAAAGGGGATGGACACTAGTGCCATGTTCTCTGATAGCATACGTTCCATTCGTTCAGTGATTTATGGTTTCTTTGTGGCCTTAGCTCTGGGAGGAAGCCAGTAGGACAGGGCTAGGGAAAGCACCGGTCCCTGAGCTTCGGTCGACAGCCCCCATGGCTACACGCTCCTTCTAACACTCTGCCTTCCAAGAATTGCTCCTGGGCCCCCTGGTGTGGGCTTGCAAAAACCATTGGGCTCTGGAGGTGGAGAAGGAGGCTGGAAGAAGCTTCCTCTCACTGGGGTCCTCTCCCATACCGAGCTGCCCTTGCAGGCACTTAATTTGGGAACAGCCTGGCTCTTCCCTGGCTCTTTCCTTGCCATACGGCTGGTGGGAGCCATGGCAGGAAAAGCAGCCTTTTACATCTCAGAAACAACCGTTGGGAGCCCAAACAATTTCCATTTCTTGATGGGAAGCCTTCTGCCTACCAAGGGTTTCCCTCCATGCCCAAGAGGTCCTCCTCATTCCCTCGTACCCCAGCATGGGGCTACAGCTGCCAAACCCCATCGGCTAGCCGCAGGTTGAGGGGAGTGGAGGGGAGGCATAAGGAGGGAGAAGAAGGAAAAGAAGAAGAAGCTGAAGGGCCCTTACCTCTGAAATGCCCGACTCCAGCACACTGCGGAAGAGGGACTGCCTGTAGTAGGGGCTGATAGTGGAAGAGAACAAAGGCAGGAGATCGTACTCGAAGAGACCCTCTCCGAAAAACTGGTCGAACAAACGGCTTGGAATGAGGGGTCCCAGAGCACGCTTGAACCAGGGGTGCTGGATGGTAATGTCCATGCTTGCTGCTGCTGCGACCTGTGGCTGCGAGGGGAGACAGAGATGCCTTGGCTGGACTGTGCAGTGCAGCCCCAGGGAAGCTCCCCCTATATATACCGGTCTTGCAGAATGAAGGCATTAGCGGGATTTCTCTGGAAAGACATGATCTCATGACGGAGGCAACGTGGTCAGCAGAAATGCGGAGACTGACCTGGAAACGACAGTCTGGTTGGAATCGGTGCCAGATCTGCCCGAGGGATGATGCCAGGCAGCAGGCTGTGAGACATGGGGTACTCGTGCCCAGGGGTAGTAGCAGATCCTCTACGTGATGAAGCAGCCTAAACGGGACACCCAGGTGGGCGTCTCAAGGATGCTTGTGAATTAAGTCTGCTCTGTGGGTCTTGGTAACCCGCCCTTGGCTTTGGGTGGGTTATTAGCCCTTGGCTCTGCGTTAATTTGCTTCTCTTCCTGCCCCTCCTTGAAATGGAGACACAAAGTCTCTTCCAAATAAATGAAACAGCTTTTTTTCCAAGCAAGAAGAAAGAGTTTGATTTGGGTTGAAAAGAGGGAACCTTTATTTGTGACATGCTATAAAGTGTCTCTGCCACTTGAGAGGGGCCTGGCGTGGGAATCCTGGCAGGGCTGGCAGGGAAGCAGGACTAACGCATGATGCAGAGCATGAACATGGGTTTGACAAAACAGAAACTTTTAACAAACAAATACTTTGCCAAAAGAAAGAAGGAAAAATAACTTTGGTCACCGACCGTAACAGCAGTCCCAAAGCTGCTCTTGAGAGTGCCCTTGTTTTCGTTTAGGAATGTTGTGGGAGATTCATTTATCTCCCGGTGTCACGACACAGATCCTGCTTAACATACATTTCTGGTTATGGCTGTTTTGTATTTCTGTTAAAGCTGCCTTTAAGGGGTTATCTGCCACCCTGGACGGACCAGGGAAGAGGCACGTGAACAGCCCACTGTGGGAGCAGCAAGCTCTGCCAGAGAGCTGAAGGGGCTGGGTGGCAAACGGGCCGTGAGGCTGCCCAGCTCCATAGCAAGGATCAGCACGAGGCTGTGGAGACAGCTGAAACTCCATTTCCACCTGAGCCAGCTGCATCCTAAGGGCCTTCAGGACAGCAGAAGCACTTACCTCAGGTTTCTTGTGCGTCTCAGCACCTTTTGCAGTCGGCAGAGAGCGAGGGAGAGAGAGGAGAAGGCACCTCCAAAAGGCACTTCAGAGCTGAGGGGCTGAATCATCCTCTCCTGCTGCCAGGGACTAAAGAAACTGAGGGCGGCCAAGATCCTGGCATCAGTGCTTTGGGACAAATGGGATCAACCCGGGCCAGAGGAGCTAAATTCAGAAAAGAGTTGAGGCAAAGTGGCATTCAGTTGAGCATCGCCTGGCATCTAGGTGCCACATGGTCTTGGAATGTCCTTGGCTTTGACTCCCACACATGATCCCTCCCCAGGCAGAGCACGGAGGCAGGCAATGAAAAGTGGGAAGTGGAAGATACCATTATAGAGGGTTTCCTTCATAGAAAGCAAAAAATTGAGCAGAAAAACACCCAAAAAGGCAGTAGAGACCACTAAGAAGAAAGACAAGAGTTTAGATTCAAATTCACCCAGTTCCATCACAAAAAGGCCCTGTGATCTGGCCATGACTCTCAGGCATGAAAGTTTTTCTAAAATCAGGTGCCAAAATGAGATCAATCCTTCCTCAAGACATGGAAGAAAAAGCCACGACAGACAGACCTAACCCCCATTCAGTCCCATTTTCCCAAATCTGTTGTTTTGCTTGAGAAAATGAAGGGAAAGCAGTTATAAAGCTCTAACAAGATTTTTCTTCAAGAGCTCTAAGAGATTTGAGTCTTTGGCCAGGAGAGAAGAAAATCTCTCCTCAGCAACCCAGGGAAGTAGTTGAGGCACCATCCCCGGAGGTGGTTAAAAGACAGGTTGACATAGTGCTCAGTAACATAGTTTAGTGATGGGTTGTTGTTTTTTTATTTATCAGAGTTAGGTTGATGGTTGGACTAGATGATCTTGAAGGTCCCTTCCAACGTAGATGATTCTATGATTCTATGATTCTGGACCAGCATTTTCATAGCTCTCCCTAGAATTAATCATATCCATTTTGTCTTTGGCAGACGTTTTGTCTTCTATAGGCAAAATACTTCATTTGCAGAAGTTTTTTCTGATACAGACTTCACACTGTCTGCATGCCTCTGGGCAAAAGTCTCCTGAAACTCATCACATCTAACTTCCCATGATTTAAAACTTGGGTGTCCAGTGCAAATAAGTTGTCCAGGCTCCCTGGCCAGTTTGTGAAGACAGATGCCTCCAGATGGCTTACATAATAACATATGTGGCTAGGAAAGCTGAAATCAGATGCCTTTCAGCAGTGCCTAGATCTCAACTGACTAACCAGGGAGCCCGGAGAGCTGCCTTCAGGGACACAACTCTAATGCTAACCTCCTTCTGGACAAGCAGAGCTGGTGAGATGAATCTCGTTCAGTGTGATTTGTGCCTCCTCTCAAAAGGAAACTGTACCTGGGAATGAATGCCCAGAGGGAAATGGCAAAGAGGGAAACAGCAGCTAATGAACTCCACTGGCACTGGATTAAATAAAGAATTAGGTATGAGAGGAGAAAGCAACTGCTTTGCACCAGTTCAAGGGACCATGGACTTCTCACAGGATGCACAGCAGCTGTGCATCATTATCACCTACCGAGCAAAAGCAGTGAGATTTTCTGGCATTCCTGTAAAAGGAAGAAAAACGAGTGCATATGCTCACGAGCGCACCCAAAGGCAATGCACCAAAGGTGAGTTTTCCCAAAGCCTCAGTGCAAATTTAGAATGCGAGTCCAACTCAAAAGGTTTTCCAGTAGGATCTGCTGTTCAGCTTACTTTTGAAAGAATCCCTTTGAAAGCTATCAATCATGCATAATCACCAGCACATGAGACATTTAGTAAAGGATGTTGCCCAGGACAAGCTGCAGAAATCCTAGATCATGTTTCTGAGCAAAGCAAACATCAGTGATCAAGCACTAAATATAAGTGCTTGTATTTAGCTGCTATTAATTTGTTCCTGGGACTGACTCTCACCTGCTGAGTTCCAGGTGAGTCCAGAGCTGTTTCCAACTCCTATGTCAAGCTCTGTACAAGCCCAATGTGAAGAAAAAAACAAGTATTTAAGCAGAGCAGTGCCTGGTCAGGTGTTACTGAGGAGGGGTTGTATGCGATACTGAAGTGCTAATATAATTTGGATTACTCTCTCCAGCTGCTGTGTTGCAGCAGCCAAGAAAGGCAACCTCTCTGCTCTGATCTGCACGTTGTTTCCAGTTAGCTGGTCTCTGTTAACCTGCAGAGGATGCAACTCTTCAGATAGCTCTTACAGAAAATGGGGAATGAGTTCCAGGACTTTCTTTTGAATAGACTTGTCAACCCAAAAAGGTACAACTGTACTCATTTAGATGGTCTTCTGCATTTAGATGCAAGCTCTTTAGTGACAATATAAGGGAGTGAATAATCTCTGACAATATTAAATGATAAAACTGTTGCAGCATGCTAATCAGACTAGGTTTTCCCTTTGGAGTAACGTTTCTATAAGGTACAAAAAGGAGTTCATGGCAGCCACACAGAGCTGGGGCAGGTAATAATGAGATTTTGTTGCAAGTTTTCTTCCTACCAGTCTTTCAGTGATGGGAAACACTACATAAAGTGTGTGAGGGAGCTGGTGAGTGGGGAAAAAATGACCATGCTTTTCTTAATCTTACATAGACCTAGCTGTGGAAAGGATGCAAGAAGTCCACAGAAGTCAGTATGCAAGCAGACAAGCTAAGAGGGCAGGCTCACAAAGGAGCCAGCATTATCAGTTTTGGCTCATGAACTGCTAAGCACTTACTAAAAGCTCACCCTAGAAATGAACAGAGAGCACTTATTTCTTTCTTTTTAAGGGAAGAGACCTTTCTTTAGAAGACTGCTGTTCTTCAAACAAGTGCTTGCCGCCCAGGGCAGTGCCAAACCTTTCTACCATGTCTGACCTGGGATGCTGATGGACGAGGGAGTAATTTATTCTAACTGATTCTAACTGCAGCTGGACTCATTTTCCTCTGCCCTCAACCCCCACCAAATAGCATGTAAAGCACTAAAGTAGTGATTTCAGCCAAGTTTTGAATGCTGTTGGTATCTTGCTAAATTTTGTAGTGGATGGGAGGAGGCGAGGCCATGTTATCAGCGCAATTTGCACACCTTGCTTACGTGTGGTTGGGGCTACAGGGCTAACACAATGGGAGGGCTGACAGGAGAGAAGGCAGATATTATATTTTTTTTTTATTAGATGAATAAGTGTTTCTTCTTAAAAGCAAAGAGAACACTTGAAAACCCCTCTTTGAGGATAGTTCATAGCAAGAAAGAAGGCAGTTAGTAGGAGGGTTGCTGCATGCTGAGCACCTTTGAAAATCAAGCCATGTATCAAGAAGTTTAAATATAGATCCAGGAGCCTAACTTTCAGCAAATGTATTTAAAAAAAAAAAATCAAAACCTTGTTTTGCTTTTCTTTTAAAGCGATCAGCGTGACCCTAGAGACCTCTACAAATTCCCATGCCTCCCAAAGAGCCATCAGCTGCCCAACTGGGAGAAGGTGAGCAAGCCCCTGCCCTCCAGCCACTTGACTTAAAGAGCCAGGAACTAAGACTGTCCTGGTATAAGTCATAATAGCTCTCCCTTCCCTCACCTCTGCAACTCTTGCTTAATGAATGGTCAACCCCTGTGTCACAAGTTCTCTTCCAGGAGGTTCTTGCTCGCAACAGTTTTTGTCCCACAGGGATTGTGGTTGCAAAGCTGCTGAGCACAGGAGCCAGGGAGAGAGTGATCACAGAGAGGACAAGTTGTGGAGGTGACATTTCTAGTTTCCTACCTAAAAAGAAATCTTTGTCCCACTGTTGTTAAGGTACAATGCTGGCTTTTGGGATTCTTTTTCTTCTCCAACATCTCCTTCCTCCCTATTTTAAAGGGATGGGGCGACTT